ATAGCAGAGCCTTCAGGAGGATCTGCTCCGTGATCTTGCCATGCACAGAGGTGAGACTGACCAGCCGTAGTTGCCCAGGTCTTCCTTTTTTCCCTGTTTGAAGATGGGGGTGATGTTTACCCTTTTCCAGTCAGTGAGCACTTCACCAGACTGCCAGGACTTCTCAAATATGATGGAAAGAGGCCTAGCAACTTGGTCTGCTAGTTCTCTCAGGACGTGTGGACGAATCTCATCAGATCCCACAGACTTGTACACCTCCAGGTTCTTTAGATAATCACAAACCTGATCTTTGCTTACAGTGGGGGGATATTCCTTCTCCCAGTTCCCACCTTCGGCTTCTGCAACTTGGACAGTGTGGCTAGAGCCCTTGCCAGTGAAGACTGAGGCAAAGAAGTCATTTGGAACCTCAGCCTTCTCCATATCCCTCGTGACCAGTTCTCCTGTTTCCTTCCAGAGGGGGCCCACAGCTTCCCTAGTCTTCCTTTTGTCACTGACATACCTATAAAATGGTATCAGGTTGCTCAGAGCGCTGACCAACCTGACCTTGAATGTTTCTGGGGATGGAGCATCTTCCACCTTTCTGGGCAACCTGTTCTGGTGTTTCAGCACCCTTGTAAAAAAATTCTTCCTTGTATCTAGTCTGAATCTGCCCTCTTTTATTTTAAATAGGACATTACCCTTGTCCTCTTGCTCCAGGCCATACTAAACAGTTTGTACACATGTTTCTTATAAGCCCCCTTTCAGTGTTGAAAGGCTGCAATAAGGTCTCCCCAGAGCCTTTTCTTCTCCAGGCTGAACAACCCCAGCTCTCTCAGTCTTTCCTTGTAGGGGAGGTGCTCCAGCTCCCTGATCATTTTTGTGGCCTGCCTCTGGACCAGCTCCAACAGGTCCATGTCTTTCCTGTGCTAAGTACTCCAGATCTGGACGCACTGCTCCAGATGGGGTCGCACCGGAGCAGAACAGAGGGGCAGAATCGCCTCCCTCAACCTGCTGGCCAGACTGCTTTTGATGCAGCCCAGGATACGATTGGCCTTTGGGCTGCGGGCTCACATTGCCAGCTAATGTCCAACTTTTCATCCACCAGTACCCCCAAGTCCATCTCAGCAGGGCTGCTCTCAATTCCTTTGTCCTCCAGCCTGTATTGATACCGGGGGTTGCCCCAATCCAGGTGCAGGACCCTGCATTTTGCCTTGTTGAACCTCCTGAGGTTCACACAGGCCCACTTCACAAGCTTGTCCAGGTCCTTCTGGATGGCATCCCATCCCTCAGGCATGTCAGCTGCACCACTCAGCTTGGTGTTGTCTGCAAACTTCTTGTGGGTGCACTTGATCCCACTGCCTGTGTCACTGACGAAGATATTAAACAGCACTGATCCCAGTGCAGACCCTTGCGGTACACCACTTGTCACTGATCTCTGTTCAGACATTGAGCCATTGACCATTAATCTGTGGATATGACCATCCAGCCAATCCCTTATCCACCAAACAGTCCACCCGTCAAATCTGTATCTCTCCAATTTAGAGAGAAGGATGTGGGGGAATGTGTCAAAGGCCTTACAGAGGTCTAGGTAGATGACATCCACAGCTGTTCCCTTGTCCACTGATGTAGTCACTCCACCATAGAAGGCCACTAGGTTGGTCAGGCAAGACTTGCCCTTGGTGAAGCCATTGCTGGCTGTCTCAAATCACCTCCCTGTCCTCCGTGTACCTTGGCACAGCTTCTGGGAGGATCTGTTCCATGATCTTCCCAGGCACAGAGGTGCCACTGACAGATCAGTAGTTCCCAGGCTTCTCCTTTCTACCCTTTTTAAAATGGGTGCAATGTTTCCCTTTTTCCAGTCACCAGGGACTTCACCTGTCTGCCGTGGCTTTTCAGATACAATGGAGAGTGTCTTAAAGATTGTTTTGAGCTCTTGCAAATGTGGTAGTCTCAGTTCATCTGCCAGGCTGAAAAGTGATGTGAAGTAGCCAGCAGTATCTCCAACAACAATGGACTTGAAGCTGCAAATGGGAGCTGGCTAACATGCTTTCAAAACCACTGAGTAAATTAGAAGTGATTCTGAAGCAAATTTTCAACAGGTCATCTCGTTATAGTGAAGTGTACTGGCAAAAAGTGGTACATCTGAGGGTGGGCAGTAGGACGGATGAAAACATGGAATTACAGATGCAAATAGTGTATTCAGGAATACTATCGATTAATCCACTGAGTTTTCAGTGTGTCTAGTGCCATCTAGTGGTTTCCCAAGAACTATCACAATGTTAATATTTGCTGTGTTGTGCTTGTCAATTACTCTTTGTTTTCTAAAGTTGAAATATTTAGAAATTGGAAAGATATAGTTCATATTTTAGACACCTCACTGTTTCAGTGCTTTTAGTGAAAATTGATCTAATTTTTAATGCCGTTGAGTATATTTTTTGAAGTCTGCTTGTTAAAATTAACATAAATCCTGTGTCATGACTGCTATGCAGTATTTAACAGTGAATATGTTCTCATGTTCTAAACTAGTCTTCCACCCCCCCAAGTATGTTAAACTATTTATTTTCTGTGGAAATATTTTCATCTTTCCTAATTTTTAAGGATCTGACAAACCTTAAAGCTCCATTTGCTTACTTCTGCTTTCTGTGGTCTTCTGCTACCTCTACCTGTTCTTCTGTTTAAAAAAAATGAAACTCTTCCTTAACTTTTTTTTTATTTAGCTGAGGGTCATCATGACAGTGCTCTTACCCATGTTCTTTATACAATCATTGCATTCCTGGGTGTTGCAGATCACAAGGTAAATAACTTGTATTTTAGCAGGCTGATATTTACGTAATTTGTAATTGTACGTAAGAATTTCACCAACTCAAAGCTAATCTAAGCCTCAATCAAAATAAAAAAGTTTAACATCCCCACCCCATATTTAAACTGAACTAGCACTGTAATATCTTACCTTTACCTTAGGTGCTTGTTTTTGAAGACACAGATTCTGATACTTCTCAGTGGCGTACTCCCATTGTAATTGCCGAGATGAATAACTGATTATCAAAATCTTACTGTATGGGATTGACCTGGCTGGCTGGGTTGTTCTGTTAGCTTAGTCTTGTTGCTAAATTAGCTGCAGTGAGGACTAAAAGAGGAAAAAAAATACAGAGCAGCTGAGAAATTATTAATATAGAAATCAATCAAATCTTAGAGAGACTGGTTAACTGTGCACAAAGCAAGGGTGATCTAAAGGCAATGAGATGGTGTATCTTGTGATTCATTTATTGAACAATTTTGAAAGAAAATACAGTGAAGAAATATGGTATGGTGCCATTAAAGGTAACTGAATGAAAGGCTTTGAGGCCAAGGTTACATAACACTTTGGGGCATTATATATGCTTTCGACAGTTTTTCAGTAGGAGGATGGGAAACCAAGTTTTGTGTGATTTTTTTTTTTTTTTTTTTTTTTTGTCGTCTTCCTTATGCTGTTCACTACCAGTTTGCAGCCAATTAACACTATTGAGAGTTTTAAACTTAAGTCCTATCACGCTGTTGTGAAGTGCTGAGGTATAACTACATATGCTGTGTTACTGTTTTTAACTAGAGTAACAATCACAGGAAATATCCTGTCTTCATCTTTTATTGGTAAGTTAAGGAAAGCATATTCATCTTTTTTCATGAAAGTGTTACTTTCTTTGGAATGAGGTATTTGACTCTTAATGAAAGCTAACAGGATGCCTCTGTGTTTCCAGGGAGGAGTACTGCTTCTGGTACTGGCATTGTGCTGTAAGGTTGGTTTTCACATGGCTTCCCGAAAACTATCTGTAGATGTAGGTGGAGCCAAGCGTCTTCAAGCTTTGTCTCATCTTGTTTCTGTCCTTCTGTTGTGCCCATGGGTCATTGTCCTCTCTCTGACAACAGAGGTAAGATAGCAAGTACAAAAATAAATAATTTTTTGTAGTGCTTCTGGTTGTGAAGTGCAATTTAAATCTTTCTTTCAGAGTATCTTTAAAATTACCAAAGTCACCATCTTTTTGTAGTAAGCTCTGTTTGAAAATTTTCCTTTGTATTTTGATGTATATCTCTGTGATACCTTAATTTCCTCTTTTGTGTGATAACTTTATTTCATCTTTCTAGCACAGATATTGCATCCTACAATCACAGAATGGTAGGGGTTGGAAGGGACCTCTGGAGATCACATAGTCCAACTCCCCCACCAAAGCAGGTTCACCTACAGCAGGTCACACAGGACTGTGCCCAGGCGGGTTTTGAATATCTCCAGAGAAGGAGACTCCACAACCTCTCTGGGCAGGCTGTTCAAGTGCTCTGCCACCCTTAATGCAAAAGAGTTTTTCCTCATGTTGAGGCAGAACTTCCTGTGCTCCAGTTTCTGCCCGTTGCTCCTTGTCCTGTCGCTGGGCACCACTGAAAAGAGCCTGGCCCTGTCCTCTTGACACCCAGCCTTTAGATATTCATAAGTGTTGACAAAGTCCCCTCTCAGTCTTCTCCAGGCTGAAGAGCCCCAGGTCTCTCAGCCTTGCCTCGTAGGAGAGAGGCTGCAGTCCCCTCATCGTCTTTGTAGCCCTCTGCTGGACTCTCTCCAGTAGTTCCCTGTCCCTCTTGAACTGGGGGGCCCAGAACTGGACAGAGTACTCCGGATGTGGCCTCACCAGGGCAGAGCAGAGGGGGAGGGGAACCTTGGGTTATTCCTGATACTATTTCTACCCCCACTAACACATTGTTTTCCCTCAGATTTCTTTAAGGGTCCAGTATAATTAATTTGTTATGTGTCCTGTAGTCCTTTACCAGTTCTTAAATGGAGAGGGGTGTCTTTTAATGGGTGAGGTACCAAGCGAGTACGCGTTGTCCAGAAGCTGACGTTGCTACACTGTTCTGGAGTTACTGGCCACCTCCTGCTCCCTGCTGCTTTAAAAAGGTCTTTGATTCCTGAATGCCCTTGTTTGATGTGTAACCATTCAATTAAAGGTTCCCATTTTTCCTCCTCTGTCAAGTGGATTGCAGCCAGAAGCATCAGGCAATCTACCTGATTATTCAGGAGAGCAGTTGGGTGGTTACCTGTTTGATGGGCAAGTACCCGTCCTACCAGAATGGGCTTTTGCCTTGCAATTTTTAGTGTATCTTTCCATTTGTCTGCTTGCCACACCAGCACCCTATTTACCTCCCACTGATCTGATTCCCAAAATGGGAGCCACTCTCTGCATCTCTTAAAAACTGCCCAAGAGTCAGTGTAAATACGCAGCGGGTCAGCGTTTGCAGAGCCTCGGGTAACTACACTCCACACTGCAACTAATTCCCCTGCCTGGGCACTTCTTTCCCCCTCAGTTATTACTTGTTCCTGATTGTTAACACTAAGGGCTACAGCCTGCTGTTTCCATGTCTTTCCCGCCTGTTTTGCACAGGCATCTGTGAACCACACATTTTGTAAGTGGGGTTGAAATGGAGGAGCTGTCTGTGTCACTGCAGGTATTATATCTTGATTATGATCCCCGGTCAAAGGTTCTTGGATTTTGAGCAATTTTGTAATCCTTCCTCTATGCCACACACACCACCATAGCGGTCTCACCGAGCACACCAACTCCTTACCACAGGCAGCTGCCCACGTCCCCCCGCTCCCCCCACAGCTCTCCCCACCTCTATACCAGGCCCTGTGACAGCCCCAACAGGGAGGGGGGTGTCCAGAAATCGCTGTTCTCAGAAACCTAAAGGGACCCCTCAAAAAACCAGACTGTTTATGTACAATTTTCTCAGCTTCCTGCAAGGCCGTATTAACTGCAGGGAGGCTTCTCTTGGCCATTACAGTTTTAAGAGCTGAAACCTGGGCCACAGTATCGACTAGGAAAGTCACAGGGATTCTGTGGGGACCAATTGGAAAAGTAATAAATAATTCTCCTTTACAATTTTCAGTGAGCCTTCTTAAAAATACGCACTTTCCATCCCCTGGCACACTTACTGGGGATGGATTAAGGGGTTTCCCGACTGATTCATCGGGGGTGCACTAGGGAATGGTTTCAATAAAGGTCCCCCTCGAGGTTTCAGTCTTTCTTTCCTCCTCCATACCCTTACTAACAATTTTAACATTCCATCCATAACTTCCCTTGAGATTCCTTTCTCTATTCCCTCCCTCCATAACTGATTCCGGGAGGAAACAGAGTGGGACTCCCATTTAACTTTATCATTACCTGGGAGGCATTTATTTTCTAATCTCTTAATTGTCCAGGAAGGTGGTTCTGACAAACCAACCCCTATTTTCCTGCTGTAAGCTATGAGGCCATTCACTAGTTCTCCCCAAGTTTGTCCGGAGTCAAATACTTCTTCCCCTTTTGTGTGTTGATTTAATCTATCGGCTGTCAATCTTCTGCCCTCATTTTATCTTTGTCGGTCTTGGAATTGTGTGGCATAGACCTTCAGTGAGTCAGGCAGTCCCAGTATTAACAGAGTCATTCTGTCATTCACGCCTAAAGAGTACATAGCCATCCATGACAACATTCCAGTCATGCGAGCTGTCCCACCATGGGTCAGTAATCGCAATAACATCATGGCCCTGCGACCATACACAGATCTTTAGTTCTTCATGTTTGTTCCCAGTGCTGCGTGCATTGGTGTATAAGCGTTTCAGGAAGCGAGTTGAGCATACAGATTTCACCTTTCAGGGATGGTAGGCTTTTTGGTACTCAGAAATACTAGTACACTGCCCTGTGAGTACTAGGCTACTATCCCCAGGCGCCTCTCTGGCAGGCCCCTTCAAATCTAGTTTTATAGACTCTTTGAATTCATATACTAATATTGCACAGGTATTAATGACTGTAGAAATACAGGGCTCTTCTGTTCCTGACGAGTAGATTATTCTAATTTAAAGACAAGTTTGTTATACCTGCATGCTTAGGGAGAGTAGACCATTGCAAACATGGCATGACATATGGCGTTGCTTTTAAGCACGTGGAAGTATTTCAAATAAGATACTGTAGTGCATATTAGCCATATGTGTCTTTCTGTAGCTGGAATGTTGTTTTTATATGACAAATTGAAGGTATAAGGGTATTTATGTTTTGATGTATTGCTGAAAACATTAGTAATGAAAGTGAACTAGATTTGATGCTGTATATACAATCACATCTAATGGTGAACAATCCTGTTTGAAATGTATTTTTTGTTGCAGAGTAAAGTAGAGTCTTGGTCTTCTCTCATCATGCCTTTCGTAACAGTCATCTTTTTTGTTGTGATCTTGGATTTCTACGTGGAGTCCATATGCTCTGTCAAGATGGAAGCTTCCACATGTGCTCGATATGGATCCTTTCTTATTTTCATTAGTGCGCTGCTTTTTGGCAACTTTTGGACACATCCAATAACAGACCAGCTTCGAGCCATGAACAAGCCACCACACCATGAAAGCACAGAGCACGTTCTCTCTGGAGGGGTGGTAGTGAGTGCTGTCTTCTTCATTTTATGTACGTATTCTTGTTTATCTTTTAATCAATCTACTGTCTGTGTGACTGGGAAGCCAGTCAGAAGATGGATGCGTGCAGAATTCATTTGGATGAGCTTTTACGGATTCTTTTGAATAAAAAGGCCCTGTAATTTTGTACTCTTTTACTGTCTGTCTACAAAAAAAAGACTGTAATAGACCTGTTCGGTTGTGGAAGTGATGATCTAATCTTACATAGCAATGAAATCTAATGATAAACCTCAAGATGAAGTTGACAATCACTTTTCTGCCTGCAAATTTTGTGTGAGCTTTGATTGCTGATAAAACACATTATAAAATAGCTGTGAAGCTTAGAAACAAAAACTTCAATACTTTCCTTGCAGCTGCCAATATCCTGTCCTCCCCCTCCAGGAAAGGGCAGAAGGGTACCCTTATTGGCTATTCCCCTGAAGGCACTCCTCTCTATAACTTCATGGGTGATGCTTTACATCAGAGCTCTCAGTCATTACCCCGCTTTATTAAGGAGTCACTGAAACAAATCCTTGAGGAGTATGATTCTAGGCAGATCTTCTATTTCTTGTGCCTAAATCTGGTAAGTGCATAGTTTGTTTTTTTTCCAAACCCAGTCACAGTAGTACATACATGGTACTGTAAGAGAAGTTATTCTTTAAAAGGTTCTCATGATTGATTGTTTTTAATATGACCCTTGATAGAGTAGTTTCATTAGATGGAATGTTAAAATAGAAGATTCTTGTGCTAATATTACAGTAAGTGGCAGGTCCCTTTGATTTGTTGCCACAGTGTGGCACTGGTTGTATGTGTAACTGTTATCCCAGTAAGCAAATGCTGGTATGATGGTACATTTAAGACTGAGGTATCTCGAGGTTAGCAGCAGATAAGCTGAAACTAATAAGGCCTTCGAAGACTGGGAGAACAAAATAGCAGGTGTGGGATTGTTTAGTCTCGTTTTAGAGTAGGCTGGTTTTATTTATCTTCTCTCTTTCTCAAATAGGAAAAGATTATGCAGTAAACAAGATTGATAGAACCTCATTTGCAAAGCTTTCTCTTTGTTCTTTTTTTCTGTCTGAGAAAACAGGGAGAAACAAAGTATGCCATGATAACTTTAAGGAACTGCAGTATGGAATATGAAATATGGGAAAGAAAGTTGTTAGGCAGACCAATTAACAATAGTAAATTATACAGGGAAAATGGATGTATTAAAAATGTTTCCTTCTGTGCCCCTCTCAAACTAATTCCTAAGGTTTAAACAGTTACTAACTGGTGAAGAAAATTTTTGCAGGACAGATGTATAGACAGCATTGCTTTTACACTAATAATGGATCAGATATTAACGTTGTTTAATGACAAAATGCTTAAAAGTTTGTCTGCACAATGTTAGTTTAAAAATCTGAATGAAAAATTTACTCCTGTAGAGGGTGGTTTTCTTAGGTCTAAGGCTTTTGGGAGGGTAGGTTCAAAAATGTCTCTTCATAGATTTGGAATGTATTGCTTCTGTTTTGTTGGAGGACAAAGTAAGTAGTCTGGAAATACTTTAAACAATAAATTTGAAAACTATCAAGTGTCATATGAAAAGAGTTTCCTGCTAGCTACCAAGATATAAATTACAGGTTGATCTTTGAGGAAAAATTCAAACTCTCTTTTGTTTTAGGCTTTTACTTTTGTGGAACTTTTTTATGGAGTATGGACCAATAGCCTTGGTCTTATTTCTGATGGATTTCACATGCTTTTTGATTGTTCTGCATTAGTGATGGGGCTTTTTGCAGCTCTGATGACAAGATGGAAAGCAACTCGCATATTTTCTTATGGGTATGTGTATTAGGTTCTTTAAGAACTATCTGAAAATTATTGTACCTGGTCATTTTCAAAATGCCCTGATACAGAGATACATTTGGGGTGTTTTAATGGTGCATGCTTCTGTGGGGTTTTGCTATGTGTCTTCAGTTCCATTTGTGTTCGTTCTGTTCCCCTCTTACCTCTGCAAAAAGTGTCTGAAATGTAATTTTCATTTATCTCTACAAATAAAACTGTGAATATTATTTAGAAATTGCCTCACTCTGTTTATGTATGTGTGTCAAACAAAAATATGTGTTGAAAGTCGGTGTTTATATGAGGATTTCAACTCTGCTGACATCATGAAAATTTGTATGGTTAAACTGCATAGCAGTTTAGAAGTTTGAAGCCCTGAATGTGCAGTATATGTAAGAAATACCTACCTTATTATAGCTTCGTACTGTTGGTATTTGGGCAGTTGCAAACTAGCTAGCTCTTGATCAGAAATAAATAATCCAGAAATGAAGGCATGATTTTGTGGAATTGAGGAAAAAAAAAAATCAAAGTAATCTTAATGCTATATTAAATTTATTATAACTGTATTTATTATAACTTTTGAAAATTTTTCAGAGTGCCTGTTCTTCACTCTCAAAAGTACGTATGTTTGCTTTCAGATATGGACGTGTAGAAATTCTCTCTGGATTTATTAATGGCCTCTTTCTGATGGTGATTGCTTTCTTTGTCTTCATGGAATCAGTGGCCAGACTGGTGGATCCTCCAGACATAGATACAAATATGCTAACTGTAAGTTCTGTCATTCTGTTTGAATGTTGTTTGGCAGTTAATTGTTCATTTATGTTTGTCTTAATTAAAAAAAAAGAGATCTAAACTGTGTCTTGACCTTTTAACATATTCTAATTTTAAAATCCAAACTACATCTAGTTTTAAAATACAAAAATATTGGGGGAATATAATTTAATTATAACAGTTAAACTGAATTTTTTCCTAAGATGTTACAGCTCTAATCTTTTTAGGTTGTGGTCTTTCTGTAATAAAAACATACTAAGGAAACAGCCTGTACAAGACTAAACTGATTCTGCTGTTATGTATACCAGTGTCAGTTATTACAGAAAAGATTTTGTCTTAATCTCTGAGAAACTGAAAATCAGCCAGCATTCGTAACGTTATGCTGAGTGTTTTACTGTGGCATAACCAGTTGTGAAGCTGTGCATAGCTAACCTGTCTCTCTACTTTCCACAGCCTCTTCAAGGGCTCCTCACTTAAATTTTCAGTCTTCAGTCCCTTTCTTTCAAATGCAATAGTTAATTTTCTTCAAACTATTTTTTTTTAATTATGGAATTCTGCAAATGCAAGCCTTCATTTATCACATTTCCAGCTTCACGTGTTTTCTGTCCCCCCACACACACTCGAATTTGTGCTCTCCTGCTGTCTTAGTAACAAAGAAAGATTTTTATGCAGGCACAATTGCACATTGCTGGAATCAAGGCCTGTTGCTTTTTTCTTTTTAATCTTCAACATTTACTCCATTTTTACTACTGATTTTGTTTCTTGGGGGTGGGAGAGGTTACCCCCCTCTACATAAGCACAGTCTGCATAGCCAAGGAAAGGTCTCATAACCCCTGAGTAGGACTTGCTTAACTCCTTTATTAGCTGTAATTACTTTTACACTTTGCTAGTTTTTCGAGAGAAGAGTAGAAAAATAGGCAGACAGGTAAAAAGCACAACTCAACCAATAAAGCAGTAGTTGCTGTCTTCAGTGAAGTAAAATTTTAGATGAGTGTGTGTGTTCTAGATACAATACACTTTTTTTTTTTTTCCCCGATGAAAGGAAAGCAAAGCTTGTATTCAAATCACTTTATCTCTTTTTGCAATTAAATAAAATCAGTCACCCTTTCTTAAAGTTTGCTGTCTTGTCATGATTTGTGGATACTCGGTTTTGCATTTTGGTGGTGGTTATTGGGTGGGGTTTTGGGGAAGGTCAGGGAGAATTGGATTTTTTTGAGAGGGGAAGAAAATTCCTTTGAAACCAGCTTCTATACTGAAAGGAATATAATGAGGAATCCATATTAGAATAATCCTTCTGTTGATATTAATGTTTCCACAGTTTTCCTTAATTAGGTGCACAGTGTTTCTAATTACCATGTTCTAGAAAATAAAGAAGATGTAGTGAAGCTAAAGGCTTTTCTCCCTCTCGCAGCCAGTCTCTGTTGGAGGGCTGATCGTAAACCTTGTTGGTATCTGTGCCTTCAGCCATGCACACTCCCATGGGGCTTCTCGAGGAGCTTGTCACTCGCATGATCACAGCCATTCTCACCACGGGCACAGCCACAGCCATGGGCACAGCCATTCCCACAGTGACCATGGGCACAGCCATGGACATTCCCATGGGTCTTCTGGAGGAGGCATGAATACCAACATGAGAGGCAAGTACAGACTGTTGAATCGTAAATGTTATATGTGATTTCCAGCAGCCTTTGAAGATTTTCAGAATCAGGCCCAGTACTATGCCTCATTCTTGAAATCTTTCTTCAGATGTGATCTGTCAGCCATTTAATGTGGTATACATTAATTTCTCAAATTGTTTCTTCATTAATGAGTTTTGAAGAAACCTAACTTGAAATGTTTCTTTGCATGGCTTTCTTAGATGTGGGTAATACCTAAGGACCGGTAAAAAGCATTAATCTACAATCTTTGCTAACGTTAATAAACAGTCATTGTAAACCTTTTTGAATAAGCTTAAAGTCCTTGATTCTAAGTTCCATCTGGAAATGAAAGTACAAAGTCTTTATCTATGAAGATATTACCACGTTTCTAAGTATCATGTGAGAGCTGGTTGTAAAAACACTGGGGGAGCGGATGAGAAGAAGAAGAACAAATGCAAAACAGCAATATCTAGAATATGCTTCTATTTGTCTTTCAGAAGATAAGGTGGTAAAGATGAAAGTTTCTTTTTCAAATCTAAAATCAGAAACTGACAGAGAAGGGCAATATGTATAAAATTTCAGCGTAGCTACTTAGAGCTTTTTCCCTAGTAGTTAGAAAGTATTTATTTCCAACTGCCTGTCTTATTAAGAAGCCTATAAAGGAATGAGTTTTTTGTGTAAGCTTGTCAGAGCATAAGCATTTTAGTGAATAGTCTCATATTTTACTGGTTATTTTGCATCCTGATTTGGCTATTCTGTTGTCTGGCATTTTTGTGAAGTCTGCCCATGCTCTTAGCTATTTTAATATTCCTTCAAATCCTGACATTTGCCTAGCACTAAGCTCACAAATGGTTAGAGATTATTTTTCTATGCCCGTTGAGTGCACGTTGAGAATGCTACCCACCATTAAAGCAGCATAAAGTATAAAATTCCTAGGAGTAGCAGATAGACAATCTTCTTAAAAAAAATGGAGCAGAGTTGGCATACAAAAATCAAATGATACATTAGCATCTGTCCACATTAGCAGGCCAGTGCATTTATGCTGATGTTTTTAATCCTCTGTTTAGGATCAATGAGTCTCTCTGTACAGAGTTAAAAGGTTATGCTATATAGTAGAAATCGCACTAACAATTTAAAGACTATTCATGTTTGGTTTAATCTGGGAATGCCTACCTAGATCATTGCACTGCAGAGTAAAAATGTTTTTTTCACATTGATTTGTATTTAAACATTAGAAAAGCTAAATGTTTTGTTTAATTTTGCACCAGGTTAGGCAGATATTTGCCACTGTTGAGCTAGAAGTGTGTTTATTACATTTCATAAACCCTACTGTGTTCCCGCTGTTGAACATAAATGTACATTTTAAACAGGACTGTTCAACTTAATCATTCAGTTTATTTTGTTTTCAGGTGTGTTTCTGCATGTGTTAGCAGACACTCTTGGCAGTGTTGGTGTTATAGTATCCACGATATTTATTCAGCAATTTGGATGGCTCATAGCTGATCCACTCTGCTCTCTTTTTATTGCTACGCTGATTTTTCTTAGTGTTATCCCACTATTGAAAGATGCCTGTCAAGTGCTTTTGTTGAGGATACCTCCAGAACAGGAGAAGGATCTGCATACTGCTTTAGAAAAGGTCAGATCTGCAATTCTAAATGTTTTCATAAATAAGCATACAAAGCTATTAACTGGTTTTAATACTTACTGAACTCAAATAGTTCAGTCTGACAGCTTCTGTTGTCTTAGACAACTTCAGAACTCAAATTGTTTTAAATCTCTTTTGCAGAGATGTGACAGGATTAGGAGTTCTACTGATCAAAGCTGTTTTGCGACTAAAAATACACTGTTTTTTTGCTTTTATGGGTAGCATGATTTCAGACAAGTATGGTAACAGTGTGGGAAAGGTACTTAGTACTCAGTCTAAGCCTACTAAGTAGAAAGTAACATATCTATTCCCAAAAGCTTGCAGCCTTTTTAAACTTAGTATGTACAGTTCAGACTACAGGATTGTATCTTGAGCCTGTAATTGCAGGTTTTCTTATTTGTCCATATTAGGAAGGGCATGCTGGTTCACAGTAGGTGAGATGGCAAAAGTAAAGCTGTTTTTTCTAATTACTTTTTCATTCTAGTCCATTCTCTTCCTGTCTGCTGTAGTACAGTACCTATTTTGAGTCATTTCACTGTTGGCTCATTTGAAGTTCCTGCTCAGAACTGTAGTGCAGACCTCAGTGTGGAGAGCTTCTCTCTGTCAAAGAACTAGTTACAGGTTCTTTGAGGATGCCATCAATTAGAGGCAGCAAGGAAGACTATCTTGATGGTGTCCTGTAAATTAGAAGAGGGGAAGATGTGGTCTTGTCTGCATGAGAAATACAAGAATAAATGGAAATTGTCTGGGAGAGCCTTATGTAGTGAAAGGAAAGTGAGGTTCAGAGTGGGGTTTCACTTTTTGATGAGGGAAGAGAGCAATTCTAGGAGACTGAGGAAGAAGTAAGTACTTTTTGAGAACAATCAAAGAACAAGTCATTAAAAGGTTTGGAAAGCATTTTAGCAAATGCACCACAGTAAAACAATATGCTTGCTGTAGGTTGACCCCAGCCAGCAGCCAGGCATCCACACAGCCACTTGCTCGCTGCCGCCTTTACCACCACCACTGCCAGTGGGACTGGAGAGAAAATTGGAAGAGCAAAAGCAAGAAAAATCTGTCCCAGCTCTGTCACTTGCCAGCTGCTTGCCCGTCCCAGCCTACTCACTGGGATGAGGGCGAAGTGGGAAAAAGAGGTGGCCTTGACAGTGCCCAAGCACTGTTCAGCAACAGCCAAAACATTGGGATGTTAACAGAACTGTTTCGACCACAGATTCAAAACACCACATCGTACTGGCTGCTGTGAAAAAAGTTCAGTCCATCCCAGCCAGACCCAGTACAAAGATCAATTTCAAAAAATTATAAATTATGGGAAGACATTATGTCTCCAAATTAAGTCCAACTATTAAAACTAAATAGCTGCTAATCCTGGATAATGAGGTAACAGATGCCCTAGAAATGGTTAAATGTGCAGCCAGCTTTCTGGTTGGTCTGTCCATTCATGTTATTGTGATCTGTACACTAAATCAGTTTTTTCTCATCCTATTTAGCACTGCACTCTGCTGAGTTTTTAATTTAGTTTGACTTTTAGCTTCTAGTCTTTCACAGTAGTAGCTAGATGACCCTTCAACACTATATATTTCTGAATGCAGCTTAGCTGAAAAGCTGCTTTGCTATTTAGCCTTGCTTCCCTGTGAAGTAGATGCCACCAATCTCCACACACATACACAAGTTTAAAATCTGTTCTTCAATTAACTGTTGCTAATGTAATTTCTTTACAGATTCAAAAAATAGAGGGAGTCATATCCTACAGAGATCCTCATTTTTGGTGCCACTCCGCCAGTGTTGTGGCAGGTACAATACATGTGCAAGTGGTATCAGATGTGATGGAACAGAGGATTGTACAGCAGGTAAGGTGCAAGGGTGTTAGACCCTAATGTCTTAATTTCTTACTCCGTATTCCTTTTTCAGTTCTGGAAGCTGCTGTTTGTGATTATTTTTGTAGCTGTTAGGTAATGTCTCAGAGCTAGTCTCTGCTGCTGTGCTTCCCCTTGCCTGCTAGCTTGGAATTAGTTGCATAAAGAGTTGTTTGCTAAAACATCTGCCAAAACAAAAAAAAAGGGGGAGAGGAGGAGGTTCTCACTGTTCAAAGTGGCTCTACATCTTCTCTGAGAAAAGGAGGAGGAGGTGGATTTCACACTGCAAAACAGACAGTAAACAGTAGGGATATCTGGATGCTAATCGTGTTTATAACTGCCTTGCAGGTGTCTGTCTGCCTTGGGTTTTTGTTTGCCTTAAAAAGATAATTATTTCCGTAGGCAAGACACTGAGAATTGCTCGTTATGCAGAAGTTGCAAAGCCATACCCGCTAAAGCTGGTCTTCACGTTCCAGAAAATGGAATTCTTTATGATGGTATTTTTTTTAATCTACAGTATTTCAGAGATGGAATACTGCAAGTTACTGTGAGATGCATATAGAGTGTAATACTCATGTTAACCGTGCTGTTCTATTCAGGTTACAGCAATTCTGAAAGATGCTGGCATAAACAACCTAACTGTCCAAGTGGAGAAGGAAGCTTATTTTCAACACATGTCCGGACTCAGTACAGGATTTCAGGATGTCCTTGCAATGACTCAGCAACTAGAATCCATGAAATACTACAAAGATGGTACTTACATCATGTGATAGAAAGTTGTCGTGTTCGCCAAAGCAGGTGTAAATGGTGAAGCTGTTGGATTCCTTATTCATATTTTTGTCAGGAGACCTTGCACATACATGTACAGAAACAATTGTACAATATATTTGAATTTTTTTAAGCATACTATCTTTATTAAAATTGGATCAAGATGCTTTTATAAAGGAACTAAGATGTGCTTGAGTATTTGCTGAATATATGTGAAAATAATGGAAATCTTAAATACTGTACTTGGTGTTTATTAAACAGAAGTCTTGCAACTTGTGGGTGAGCACAGATACTTTCCATACTTTCTCTTAAGTATGGAAGGTCAGGGTTATAGTTCCATGTCAGCAATGAGGAATGGAAATAGTTTATATCGGAATGCAAACATAATCAACTGAAAAATATTTTTCTTTCTTTCAAGCATAGCTTGAAGCTGCTTTGAGTGAAAAAAATTACATATTTATTATAGAGAGTAAAAAACAACATGAGGTCATGTCTTTTGCACACTTTGGATAGTAGAAATAATACAGTCTTTATATTCTGTCTCGGCATACAAATCTGATTTCTAAACTTAATTTTAATGGATCAGAGCAAATAGATGTTACCATTTAAATTTAGATCAGCTTATTTTTTTAAGGAGAGAAATACACAGGTTAACAGTGAGAAGTTGGGAGGGGGAAAAATTGCAGACACTTTTCTGTTTCCTGGGAAGACTCAGACTAAAAAACCACTTGGTAAAATAAGTTCTTTATACTTTTTGTATGAATATCTGCAAATGCAATAGTTTGAAGCTTAAAGTAATTAATCAGTGAGCATCCTAGCACTCAGCTAAACTTCACATCTTCAAGATACGTTATTCTGTCGTTTACTCGATTTTTTTCATAATACCATAACACAGCTGCAGGTGTACCGTAGCCAGCTGTACCTTTGTCTGTTACCCAAGGAAGCAGTCCAGGTTTAGAATGATAAACAGTGACAGTAGCGTGGGACTTGGCAAGTTGCTGAAACAAA